GAATAGTTTCTCCTTTTGTGTGGTTCTCTGTGAAATTTCCAATGCTCTGTTGCCCTTTCCGAACATCAGAAGTCACAAATGGTTGCAATACATTGCCCCAAAAGCATCAGTATGGATTTGGGGGAAAACAGGTAAGAGCCCATACCATGTGGGTTATGACTTTTGCATAGTGTGGACAAGCAGGTGACAGATCAAACACTAGTTATTGCCAGAAAAGCTAAAAAGAGCTTTGTGTGAGGTGGAGTGCTGATGGATGCCATATCTGGTGTGCTGTGATGGGGACACCTGGAATACCATTGTCAGGCCTGAGATATGGCTGCCGCTTGTCCACTACCTGGCAAGGACAGCCTGGGCAGCTACCCAACAGACCAGTGCAGGCATTGTCCTGGTGCCTTTCCTGCAGTATGCAAGTCAGTGGAGACACAGCAGAATTTGGCATGGTCTTAAATTAAGACAGGAATGTGTCATAATAACTGACTAGTCTATTCCTCTAAACACATCTCTTTTAATCTCTCTGGGATAGGTGAAGTTAGTTTCCTCTGGCCCCTGAGAAAAGGATGAGGGAGGGCTCCCTACGCAGCTGCAGTGGGCCAAAATGCTGTCACATATAGACATGTCTATAGCATGGATTAGTGGTTGGTCAGCATTATCTTGGGCTAGTATGTAAATGTTTGCTAAGGAGATTGCCAGGTAATCCTGGCAATGTCAGAGCTGAAACCCTGGTGAGGGGGGACTGCCGCACTGCTCTCTGTTTGGGTGCTCTGCGGGTGAAATATGGAGGTGTACCACCCTGACCTTGTTCTTTATGACAGTGCTGAGGGAGGTTCTCTGCAGAGAAGTGGCATTCCCTCGGGTCACCCTGACTGCTGGGGTCCTGTGGATTATTGCACTGCAGGAGCCTGCACTCACAGGGTTATCAGCCAGATCACTTTCAGGACATCCTTTATGTCCAAAGCCAAGACAGTGTGAACCGTCTGAGAATTCGCCCTTAAGTGAGCTCCTGCAGGATGATGCAGAGACAGCTATAAAACCTTTGATCCTTCTGCTACAAGTGTTGAAGTGCTGCACTGAAGTAAACCCCTCTGGAGTCTCCTGCCTGCTCTGTCTCCTGTCTTCTCTGCAAGAGGAAGCGGCACCAGCCCTCTGGGATTCCTGCACTCCCTGCACCAGGATGCTGTTCTGTGCTGCTGCCGAGGGGAGCTTGGCAGCAACTTCAATGCAATCAGATGTCTACGCAGGGTCTCCCATTGAGCTTGGTCCTGTTATCAGAGACATAAAAGGAAGAAGGCACTTCTTAAATTCCCCTACATGACCCAGAGCAACAGCTCTCCATGTGGACTTTTTGTTCTTTTGTGGAGAAGGGAATGAAGGTGGGTCTAGTAAAATAAATTGCAGGACTTTTTGTTTTGATTAAAGCCATTGTGTAACTGCTGCTTGCATTTTCTGTAGTCACATTCCTACAGCTACACTCACAATAGAAGGCAGCTTATTTTTAAGCTGAGTGGAAGACTTGACATAAGGTTACAGCAAAGAAAGAAAAGCTAACAATATTGATAAAATACATACTTATAAAATTATTAGCCCTAATCCTTACAATGCAAATATGCTTTCTAAGTCCAATGGCAAGGTTAAAAAAACCCCATCCAAATACACATATCAAAATTAACCATGTTTTCCTATATGAAAAAGGTTGGGTTTTTTTTGGTCTCTGGAGAAATGCCACATTCATGCCTAAAGCATAAAATACAGTGAAGAAAAGGGTGGCAGTATTTAAAACATGCAGATGAGCTCCAGAAACTTCTAAGGGCATTAGCATAGCTGACTGCAAAGGAGGTACTATTTATCTTAGGAGTCACTGGGTAATGTGTAACATATACAGAAAAGAGAGGTACAAGGTCAGCTCTCTTATGCTTAGGAGCCCTGGTAGTTTGGAATTGGAAGTATTTTTAATGAGGCTGTCTGCCATTTAACTTCCAGGAAAAAATACTGTAGCAAACAAATTCTTTCAACCTTTTATTTTCTCTCTCATTTTCTATGGAGGAAAGAAAGATATTTTCTATTTTTTCATCTTGAGAGGGCCTGAAAACTAAGAACAGATGAAAGAGAAATACTAACCAGCTCCTTCCAGAAAAAATCTCGTATCTATAGATTCATATATTTTAGGGTTTCAAAGGCACTTTATGATTATCTAGTCAGAACTGCCTGACAGGCTGTAAAACCTCACTGAGTAATCTCTCCATCAAGCACATAACATCTGCTTTAGTAATTGCATACCTCTTAGAGAGATACCTAGTCATGATTTAAGGGCTGCAAGTGATGAAGTTCTGCAGTCCTTACTCAGGATTCAACTCGGTGAAAACATTGGCATATTATGCTCTCTGTCTGTTAGGTTTGGAGGAACAGAAAGAAATACCTGGCTTTAAATAGAGTCTTGTTTGAAATCTGTATGAATAAATTCACAGAATTTAAAACAAACAAAAAGAAAATGCATCATAGGAATACTTGTGCACCACCTTCTCTTTTGCAAGGACACAAACCCACATTCTTCTATCCTTTTTTCTTGGGATTTTCAGAAAACACTGACAAAAAAGTTGAATCCTGCAGGTGGAAACTCCTTAAGGTTTAAACTGACTCACATTTCTAATTCAGTTACCTATAGAAACATTTTCCAGCCCTCTATGATGCATTGCTCCTAATATACAGTCTAGTCTTTTTTACATATGGTAATACTCCACCTTCAGTATCTTTTTAAAGATGTTAATGTCAAGAGAATTACAGTGGAGGCACCAACTGTAAGTAGCGAGGTAGGTAAGATCTCTCACAAATGCCATAGGAGTTTAAACTTCTGTATGCTAAAAAGACATTAGGTGTTCAGACTTGACACCAGGGCAAAATGGTGACTGAACTGCTCACTTACTGCCAAATACCACAAAAGCTATGAACTCTGTGGCAGAAATGAGGACTAACTGGCATTCTGATCAACATATTTGTGCCTGCAGTGGAAGCTGTATAAATATACTCAGTTGTGAAATGTGATCAAGAAACCTGATAAATCTATATAGCCAAAAGATGGCATTTTCTGAACAGATGCATACAACATGTTCACAAATCATGTCAGGATATGAACCTGTGCACGTATGCAACTTTAAAATACACACTGCCAGAAATCACTTGCCCTCTTTCAGACCCATTAATAAACAGTAGATTAATATTTCAGAACACAATGACATTGCCAAAACATGATTGTATTGGTAATCTTGTTTTCTGTGGTAGTGAATATTATGCATACATAAACATTCAAACTATAGTAGCTCTTCTCTTTGAAATAACAGATGTTTCTGATATTCATTTGCACCATCAGATACAAGAATAGATTTTGCTTACGTCCAGTGGTGTCCTGCTATTGCTTGAATTGACTGTCACAGCTGAAGGTCATGGAGTGACTCAGTGCCCATAGAAACAGATGAAATACTGGGAAACCACTTTAAAAAAAAAAAATCTTACCTTATTAAAAGCAAGCACAGACTCCTGAAAAATGTAAACTTTGAGAAGAGAAGCATCAACTGTAGCTTCTCAGCTCATCTTTCAAAGTTAAATCAACAGAAAAAGCAGTCATAATATTTCCACACCTAAATAAAACAAGCTAGGAATTTCCTCTGGGGCTTAAAGCAGCTCAGATCATTTCCCTAGTCAGATAGAAACTTCATGTGTGACCTTAGATAAATTGTCTACAACAAGGTTTCTAAAGGTACGTATATGCCTAGATGTACATTTGGATGTGTATTGGGGTATTTGCTACAGATTCTCATAACAGGCACTTTATATGAGTACCTATCTACCTTTAAAATGATCTTTCAGTGTTTTTCCCAAGGGTCTGTGGATGACTAAGGGGTTTACAAGCCCATGAATCTTGGCTATTATAAATAATGAAATTCAGATTTATTTTCACTTTGTATTTTGAGATAAGGTAGTATGGTGCCTATGAGGCCTTTGAAAACTATCAGTTATGACAGTCTGCTCTATGAGAGTAGACTCTACTCCCCTCTGTAATATGAGAATAATTGTACCTTCACTAGAAGCTGTCAAATAAACAGGACACATTGTGAAGCAGTCATATTGTGTCATAACGTAGCCATATTTCAAGCTTGAGATGAAACAAGGAAAATATCCACTTGCTGCTTAAAGAATATATGTTTGTTCTGTAGCTTGTTCTCCCTACTTCCACAGTTGATCAGAGGAGGGAGAAAGAATACATCTCGAGTCCCACGCAAAAGTACAAATCAGGAAGCGGGGAGCCCTTACACGAAAAGTTGATAGCATGTAAGCAACAGAAATTGTGGAGCTAAGTGTTACTCCTGGAGGTTGCTCAGCACCTCAGAATCAGGACAGAATTTGTATATTTGTTTCAGGCTTGATTCTGCAATACTAAATTAAGTGAGTCATCCCAACTTATGCAGAATTCCCCTGAAATCAAGAGGACTAATTGCACAAAAATCACTCAGGATAGAAGGAGTTGCATTGAGGCCCTTAGAGAGCACAGCTACAGGCACTTTAGACAGTTGAAAACGCTCTTTCCACAAATGCACTTCGCATCTGTATGAATAAGCTAATTGCTGACGGGAAGGCGCTGTTGGTGTTTATTAAACATAATGGCTCAGATACAACATCTGGCTCAAGCAATCCCTTGTTTTGAGGAGCCTGGCAGCAATATCAGGGAGAAACAATTTAAACATATTTCTTATAACCCTTCAGAAGCATATGCTATGAGCAATCATCAGAGGTGGGATAATGCAGAAGGCAGTTACTCTTGACAGTTGCTATAGTCCAATGCTTTACTGTCACAGATTCCATCGCACATACGAGAAACTATACTATAGTCAGAAAAGGGCATTCTCAGATTTCTAGATCATAAATTTCAATACTTTTGTCATTTTTTACCTACCACAGTGCACCAGTAATATATGACTAATGAGGATCTTTACCTAGTAGCTAGAGCAGATGCTGTATGCCATTTAACAATTTAGTTTTGCTATACTTTTGAGTTTTACAGAAATACATTATTTGTTTGTACGGAGGCAGAAAACATTTCTGCTTCAAATTATTCAACTATGGTTAGTCCACTTTAATTATTGCATATAAAAACATTTTATTCTTTTCTTCAATCAGGCTGGTAGAGATCACTTAGAGCATTCAACTAGAATAGTCTCAATAAAAACTAATCAAAAGCTCCTGTGAGTTTGAGCATGGCATCTGGTAAACTCAGTAACAAATAAAAGATAACTCTAAACATTCATTTTTACAAAAAAAAAAATAATTACAAAATTTGAACAATAAGTTAATAAAGTGAAATAGTTATCTACTGTTCAGATATAAAATCCCAGCAACTTAATTTATATATCACTATAGCAGACATGACAAAATTGTGAATAATGCTATCCACTGTCATAAGTGGTACTGCAAGGTTTCCAGCAGAAAACTTATATTTTAATTTTCTGTTCATATAGAGCCAAAAGTAAGAGGCAAAGCCAGCCTAATAGTAATCCAAGGTTCTGTAGGAGAAACATCAACCAGGGTCGCCGTGTCTGAATATGAGTCATTTCAGGAAGCTAAAAAAAGAATAAGAACCAGAATGAGAGCCAGATATATTCATCTCTGGGAAAAAAAAATCTTATGGGAAAACAAGGCAAACTTAGTTTAAAAAACACTTTCAAAATGCTCTTTCTGAAATAGAGTTATTAAGCATTTTCTGTACATTGTAACAACACTGGTCTTAACAGTGACATATTTAAATTAATCAGATTCTACCCACTTTGGTTCTTCTACCAGCTCCAACAAGAATTATAAATGAATTCCAAAATCTGTTAACTTCTAAATAGTTTTTAGTAATTTTATACAGCTGTCTGCACGGAAATGCTTATTTAGTAAAATCAGCTATTTCCTTTTGAGGGAATCAACTAATTTGAGTTTTTTTGTTTCAGTACTATATATAGGGTCAATCTTACTCTTACTGAAAAAACTGGCAACCATCCTGTTTGCTCGGGCTTTACTAAACATACAAGTAGAAAACAGGACTTTTTAAATATGCTTGAAAAAATTATGCTTAATATTTTTCTTTGGGAGTTTTAAATCAATTAAAGGAGCAGCAGCTATTTAGAATCATATTAAAAGCTACTTACATTGATATTCCACCCTACATGGTGTCTTTTATCAAGGTTTTAAACAAAATTTATGCCTCAACAGACCCTGTGAAAATGATGCCTCAGGCTCAGACTCTCAGTATTTATGCTTTGTGTATTACAGGCATCAAGGGAGACACTAATGGCTGCTGATGCTTTCACATCAATTTTTGAAATAAATATAGAGCAGTGGCCTAGTACTGACCTTTGGGCTTGGTTGGGGCTTTTTTGATTTCTTTTTTTATTTGTTGTGAACTTCAAAGGAAGAGCGAGTGGTCCTGGCACTCTCCCATCGCCCCTTCCTGCTCCACTCACAGCCTGCACTTGAATGAAGCTCCTTATTTCCTCTGCTCTTTAGAGCCGCCTCAGAGGAGCTGTAACAGCATCAGCCACTGGGAGACAGTGGAGCGGTGCTGACCACGGGGGCTAACAGTGTGCGTTTACATCTATTTGCTATGCTTGTCCTTCCCTCTGTCAGAGGGGAGGTCTCTAGCTCTGCTTCTCCTGCACTTTCTCTGGAAGTTGGCATGGGCCCAAAAGAAAACTAGAGTGAAAAATCTGCTTCCGCTTTAAGGTTTTGCATAAAAATAACAGGCAAACCCAAATGTCCCAGATCTTCATAACAGCTAGCAGTGTTTCAAATTATGGTACAAATTCACATCTTAAAAACTCATGTAGTTATATTTAATTTGTATTTAAAGCTCATCGGAAACTTTTCATCTAAAGTAAACATAAATACTTCAAAGTTCTAATGTAAATCAAAATCTGAACTGACAGCCTGTAAGCGTTCAGAGCACTTGGGTTTTGTTGTGTATGTAGTAAAAACTGTTAAGACCTTGGCCTGAATCCATGGTTTCCTGTCTAGACCTTTGGTCTTTCTTATTTATCCTAATCAGTCTGTTTTGTCCTCTTTCCCAGCACCTGAGTGAACAACAGGAAACTTTTCCCCCTCCCACTGCAAAAGCTAGTTTTTTTTTCTTATTGCTGTCAGTGCAATTTATGAGTTACATACATGCACAGAAGGTTCCTAAGTAAGTTTACTAAAAGAAGCATCAGCAAGGAATGCCCTTCATATACTCAATGCATATGTCTACTCCCTCCATCTAACTTGTGTGCATATTATCAAGCACACGGACCATTTCTACAGCCTTACCTAGTGTGACATCCCTGCTTATCTCTGAAAGCATGCCACAGTATCAGCTATGGTTCCCCAGCTCTCTCTGGGCACAAATGTGTGTGCTCCAGCAGAGAAAAGCTTATTTAGGAAGCATAAGCCTGTTCAACTGGCAGATGCAAACCACTTCACAAATTCAGGGAAGATAGCAGCACATACAAGCTGTCAAATGCCATTACACTTGCTAAAACTTAGTCTGTTGGAGCAAAATAGTTACTGTTAATCAAGGGACTACTCTATTCCCACTCCAGCTCAAATTATGAAGAATTAGGAAGCAACATGCTGAAGGCAGGCATGTGCTGGCTAAACAAGATTTCTACCAAACTGGGGCATATATGATATGACTGCTGTGCTGCCACAGCCCAGTAAGTCACTTCTTTAAAAATACTTCTTTATCTCCAGAATTCAAAGATTTTTAAGGTTGGTCAGAGAAAAAGTCAGTTAGTTACCTCAGGGAGTGGTTGGCCAGCTCCTATTTCCTGATGTCCTTACTTTCTTGCTTGCTTCTATCTATCTCCCTCCTTTTCAATTAGTAAATCTTTCTGGTCAGGAGCCACATAAACCACTATGATCCATAAAATCACTCAGAAATGATATCCAGTCCATGTGGTTTAATACAATGCATTTGATTTCATAAATATTTATCTGTAATGATTACTTCATAGAGACTCATTTAAGAGGCTGATACAGAATTTTCAAATTTGTTTCCCAAGAGGAAAAGGGGACATGTTTTGTCAAAGAAACAAATCTTTAGGAGTGAGTTGCTCTTCTCCATTCCATATATCAGTGTCTCAAGTTTCAGTTTGGATTGAAGGTATGTTAAAGTATGTTATTAATTAAAAGATCTTTGGAAATAGTGCAAAATTATGATTATACTTATGACCTCTCAACAGATATCAAGTGCAAAATATCTCATCATACTGCTCATAAAAAGCTGTTTTTCAGGGGACTTGATTATGGTTAAATGACAACTATCCCACAATATTACAGGTGTTTACAAACATGCTTACCTTGAAGCAACAAACAATTTACATTGCAATATTCCTCCTGCGCACACACATTTGCAAGACAAAGTACTCCTCCCTTCCACCTTCCCCAATTACTGGGAAGATGAAGTTTTGCATAACTCCTTGGTGAAAAATGATGAAGGTTATGCATAATTTTATCTTTTGTCCTTTTCCTCAGATTTCTAAAATTCTCAGTCCACCCTGCTTCTTAATGGAGCTAGAATGCCATTTGTAGAAATGAGAAACCTTTAATTAACCACAGAAGTATTTTTGTGCAACCTTGATGGCAGCAGCAGTCTCAGTGTTGTCCTGTCAACGAACCTCCGCTCATACCCCTCAGTGTTCCTCAGTGCAGAAACCAGTGAGGCTGTTCAGTTTTATTTAACTGCTGCTCTGACAAGCACATGAATAAGCGAAAGCCCATAAAACAAATACTGAAAATTACAGCTAAGCTTTGTACACCATGAAGTATTTGTACGCCATTGGCAGCGACACTGATGACTGCTGTTTGTAGATGAGAATGCAGCAGAGAATAAAACTGATTTCTGAACAGAAAGTTGAAAAATACATAAAGAATGGCTGATTTTCTTTTGAGATGCACTGTACAAACACACAAATTTTTCCAGATCTATAGATTCCTGCAGTGCCACAGGAATAGTTTTTAAACTAGAATAACCCCAGTGATATTAACAGCTGCACTTCTGACAAACACAGGTGAGCAACCCAACTGCAGTTCTTTTTTATCCAAATGCAGAGAAAAGCTGATTGGAATCATATTAATAAAAGTGAGGTCAGAGAAATAAGATCCTCTCCCTCCTCCTTTCTCCTCTTCACATCAAGAAGATTATGTTGACAAGCTGAGAACAAGGGAAAATATGTCCCTGTCTCAGCCTGGAACTGTGTCATCTCTTGGGATTTACAGCTGTCACATTGCTTTGCAGACTCAGGGGAAAACATGGTGTTCTAGGAGCCTGCGGATCCCTGATGGATCCTGATCCTACACTGAAGGATAATCATGCTTAAATCATTCTTAGCTGCATTAGCAAAACCGTGCCTTTTGAGTCGGTAGGCAGCCTCATTTCTACATTTCTCTGTGTCAGAACAAGATGCAACTTGGTACACAGTGTTTTTGTCTACTGTTTACCATCTCAGTCAGGACTGTTGACACTTCTGCAGTCCTTAAGCAGTTCCCATATAAGCTCTAAGGACTAGTTTCTGTTATTTTACTTTTGTTACGGTAGCAAAAATAGACTAAATTATACCTAAGGCCGAAGGTCAATTATTACAAGTAGATTTTTAAAACTGGCATGGCACATCGGGTTTAAAGTATTATGGTTGAACTTGGTAAATGATATTGAAGGCATGAGGAGGGAGGTGGTAGTGAACACAACAGACAGCCAGGCTTGGGAAAAATATAGTAATAATTTAGGAAGAGACAGACCTCTTTTTTCCCTCTTGATCTAATCACTTTAAATACTCTGTTCAGAAGCACGCAAATGACTTTACATTAACACACATTGGTTAAAAAGCCATGTGTCAAAGCTGGCAAGGTAACTAAGTGCTGCACTGTTACAAATGTAACAGTTAGCAGTCTCCTCAATAAATGATGTGGCCTGAGGCATGAGTTATGATCCCACATTCTCCCACAGCCCTTAGACCTTCCTCCTACTGTATGTCTTCACACTTTATTTTTCTATAGTCAGATCACTGCTATTGAACTGGGAGTATGAAAAATGTTGGCCAAATATGAAAAAGCTGAGGCAATCTGATGGGCTTTCAATTGCTTAGGAGCTCATCCAAATCTCTCTGAGACAGAAAGGCTGGCCAGGAAGAGCATAGGATGAGCACCTTGCATTTTAGTTCAGAAACATCAAAATCATGTTGAAACAATGGATGAAAAACATATTAAAAAAAAGGGCAGCAAAGAGAAAGAAGTAACCAGCTTGAGGATTTAAAAAAAACCCTGCAGGTTCAAGTGTTTCTTTGTGTTGACTAAGTAACTCTATCAATCAGACCTAAAAATATACTGTTCACCTTTTCCCCTTTAAAATTCCCTTATATCTTTCTCAAATATTACCCTCCTAATCGCCTTTATTTCCTCTTTTTATTGCTAACTACACCTATCATGGCAGTGACATGAAACAGAACCAGACTGTTGTTCTAAGTACTGTACAAACACGGGGCAGATAACATGCTCTTCCCAACAAGCCTATGAGCTATTTTTCTCTCCAAGTTCATCCACCTGCATTTGTCTGACACTCATCTGTGATGTGGCTATGTTAAAGGGAAAATATAACAAGACACTGAAGTTCTCACCATTTCTGCTAAAGATAAATACAAGAACATTCCAGCTGTAACAGTAAAAATCCAGTTTTGAATGCATGGTTCAGCTGATACAGAAAGGCCAATATAAAGTCCTAAGAATGCTGTTAGCGCACTTATAAAATTCATCAGAATTGCAATCTTTGTGGGGATCCCTGTACTTAGCAGCACAGCAAAGTCTCCTGCATAGAGAAAAAAGACAGAAAATTTATTATTTAGTTGACAAATGTATTTGTAAGGCTCTTGGTAATAAAACATGAAGGGAAATAATTAAGATATGCACAAAGATAGTGAAGGATGGAGGACTGCCCTTAGATTTCTGTAGAATTAGTTATAAACTCATCCTGTGTGAAAAACCCAAAAACCCCATATTGACTTAAATTTGTTTAGCAGTTCCTAAAGGTAGCATACAGTATATAGGAGTGGCTTTCTGTTAGTTCTTGATGTTCTGTGACATTTCCAACTTGGAAACATGAAAATGTGGTCACATGCTTTCCCAGAGTTTCTAAATCTTTCTCAACTGGGAACTTGCCAGTTCAACTCATGTGAGTATATCTGCAGCATGCTCTTTGAGTGTTATACAGGTGCTGCAAGCCAGAATAACCTATGCCAGCATGATTCCTATTTGAGTTTAATTCCACTGATTTAAGAGCTATTTAACTTTGGCAAATTGTACATCAGAATATCATTACAGATTTTTCTTCTAAAATAAACAATTTCACAACAGGTCCATAGTAAAAGATTTTTTGAATTCTTCCCTCTGAGTGTAGAAATGCCATTTTAACACTGGAGCACTATTGCCCCAAGATAAAAAAGTTCTGTCTGTGGAGTTAACTGTTCAGTATTCTGGCAATTTCTTTGACATGCAAAGAAGAGTTATAAGTTTTACAGCAATTCTCCACCCCATGTTTTTATTTGGGGGACTTTTCTACGTACACAGAGCATGAAATCTTCACTCATCTAAGAACAGAAATGAGAACTTGCAGTTCTCACCTCAGACATGCCAGCTTCTAAATGTCTATCAGTGCAACATCAGAAACAACTTCAGCCATACTGCAACTTTTACCACAAAGAGATAATTGAGGGCAGTGTTCAACAGAATGATCTTCTTGTCCTGTCCACTAGTAAAATGGGTCATATATCTTCTTTTATTATCTTTTTGTACTTAATTAGCAGCAGGAATGAGGGCAGCAT